AACCCGCCACCTTGGGTGTACATGACTGGCTCCTGAGCCACTTGAGCCACAGGCGCCGAGCCAAACATACTTCTTATCTGGACACACCTGTAGTATTCTGAAGCAAAAGCTTCAGTAAATGGGCAACATTTTTGTCTGACTCATAAGTGGTAATAAAATCAGCTGAAAGGGACATCAAATCATGGACTACAAAAACATAATCATGGGCGGTGCTTGTGGCTCAAAGGAGTAGGGCGCCGACCCCATATGCCAGAGGTGGCATGTTCAAACCCAGCCCTGGCCAAAAACTACAAAAAAAAAAGTGCTCATGAGAAAACAGACCCACAGCACTCCATCACATAAGATCACTTGGCATTCGTGTGCTGCGAGATTTTTTTCCCTCCCATTACTACTGAAAGAGGCAGGGATTTCTCCTCTAAAGCAGTAGGTAATATAATATATTCTCAATGGAATAGGGTACAAATATTTTGAATGTTTATTAGATTAGTCCTTTACACCATAGATGTCATTTAATCCTCACAACAACACACACACATATGCTCATACACACACTTTTCCAATGAATGAAGACTTCAGGGCAAGACCCATTCAGAGATTGTTAGGTTGTAACAAGACCCATTCAGAGATTGTTAGGTGTGTAAACTCATTCATTGCCCAATTCAGACCGATGCAGCTTGACACTAATCTAAGCATACACAGGCCATTAGTCTCTGTTTTACTTCCTACACCTTTCTTTTTCTACTCCCAGCAAGAATAGTACTTTCTCTTAGCTTTTATGTCAGGAGGAAAATATACATACTATAGTTTTTGACTTTAGGATTTCTGAAAGGTTACCCTAGAGTTCAGGATTGTCTACAATCCATGAATCTTTCAATTAGGTTCTCAAAAAGTAATCCTCCTCTTGTTTCTTATTTTAAGAAATAGCTAACATCATTCAAATAATGACTTTTTCAAAAAACTTACTTTGCAGTAAAAGAAGAGGAACCAGCTTGCAAAATAAGGGCAATATTAGGTAAGAAGGCTACTGTGGGACTGTGTAAAATGCTCTGAGGAAGCATGGAAGGAGAGGACTTGGCCTCCTAGATGGTAGGTGGGGTATGTATGTTTGCCCAGGCTACCATAACAAAATACCGCTGACCAGGGGAGGCTTAAACCACAGAAATTTCTTTGCTCATAGTTCTGAAGGCCGAGAGTCTAATACAAAGGTGTCAGCAGATATTGTTTTTTCTAAGGCCTCCCTCTTTGGTTTGCAGATGGTCACCTTCTCATAAGGACATCAGCCACGCTGGATTAAGGCCCACCTTAATGGCCTAATTTTAACTTAGTCACCTCTTTAAACAACTTATCTCCAAATACAGTCACATTCTGAGGTATTTGGGGCTAGAGATTCAACAAATAAATCTTGGAGACACAATTCAGCCCATAATAGGGAGACACAGGGAGTCTTCACAGAAGGTAATATTTGAGCTGAAATTTGAAGGACAACTAGTTTACCAGGTAAACTATAGACAGAAGGACAATGCGGATAGACTAAGTAACAGCATGTCCAGGGGAAAGAGAAAACATAGAACATTGAAAACATTGTGTAGTCTCGGTGCCTGTGGCTCAAGTGGCTAAGGCACCAGCCACATACACCTAAGGTGGTGGGTTCGAATCCAAACCAGGCCTGTCAAACAACAATGATGGCTGCAACCGAAAAAAAAATAGACAGGCGTTGTGGCAGGCGCCTGTGGTCCCAGCAACTTGGGAGGCAGAGGCAGGAGACTCACTTGAGCCCAGGAGTTGGAGGTTGCTGTGAGCTATGCCACGGCACTCTACCCAGGGGGACAGCTGGAGGCTGTCTCAAAAAAAAAAAAAAAACAAAAACACTGTGTGTGTGTTTAGAACATAGATATAAAAGGGAAGGAGAGGAAGTGAAGTTATTTCCAACTGAATTGAGAGAAACAATAAACGATTTTATTCAGGGAGATATATGATAAAAATCTCTATTTTAGAGAGATCTTCCTGACCATGGGATTTAACATTAGTTCAAGAAAAAAAAAAAAACCTAACAGTTTTATACAGTAGGTCAAGAAAAACATGAGGGTAACTTAATTTAAGTCAATACCAGAAAAGATAATGAAAGGAACTAAGACAGGACATTAAAACAAGACATGTTTTAGGTTTCCTAGGGTGAGCATAGGCTGGGTTATTTGGACCATTCTTCTATAGACAACAGATATTTCTTTAAAATAACGAAGAACTAACAAGGAAGTAAAAAATTACCGGGCTTGCCAGCAGGTCTCTACAATTTGGCCCAGAGAAACAAATTAGGATGAACATTTTTTTTTTTTATGGATTATGATTAAAGATGCTCTAGAACCAAAATTCTAACATTTCTTCTCCCCCCCAACTCTGATCGTAGCAAAATACAGAAACCTATAGACTGTTATGGGCTTTTTTCTCCTTCCTATGATGATTTGGTGGTGTCACAGAAGACTCATACATAAGGGACTTATTTACTTCTTATTGAATATGTGAATATGGAGCAGGAAGAAATTAAGGAAGCTGTTCTGTGATTTATTCCTATGCCATTACCGAGGATAGAGGTGGAGGCTAGAGGATCTCCGAGAGAAAGAAAGAGGATAGGTGGCTCACGTAACAAGGTGGATAACTGGACCTCCTGGCAAATATACCATGTTTTTTTGCTAGGAGAGTCCTTATCTATTAAATAACCTTGGCAGGCTATTCCTACTTTAGAATTGGTTATGGTGAACCTATGGGTTCAAGGAGCATTACTTACTGAAAAATGTCCCCAAAGCTATAACTGTAAAGTTGAGATGTTTCATGATAGACAACTCATGTCTCGCAGGAGAAGAGAGGACCTTGAAGCTGCCCCAGTGTCTCGGACCTCTCCCTCCTTGTCTGTTCCTATTGATTGACTGTATCCCTAAAATTATTACTGATCCTTGACACGAGGTGAGAGCTCTGGTTACTTGAGTCTGATCTGACAATATGATCTTTTGTGTTCACACACACAGAGACATTTGTCTGGCTATTGAGTGCAATTATCTTTGAAATATGCATTTAAGCCGCATCTTATAGGTGATATCAGGCACTGATATTTCAAGAAATGAAAGAACAGAGAAATTAAAATAATAAAGATAACAACGATAACATTTTTGGTGAAAGGGGCTATATATAACAGAAGTTAGGATTACTGAGCTCTCTTCCTCAATGTTATCTAACTATGTGATTTGGGCTTAGTTTTCCCACCTATAAAATGAAAAGGTTGTGTAACATGATTTCAGAAATCAGCTTGGATTCTAAACATTCCAAGACAGTAAGTTAGAAAAATGATTTCTTTACACAAGAAAAACTACGGGCTTGGTGCCTGTAGCTCGAGTGGCTGAGGCACCAGCCACACACCCCAGAGCTGGTGGGTTCGAATCCAGCCTGGGCCTGCCAAGCAACTATGACAACT